CGGGAAGGTGTTCAAACCGGCCAATGAGACGAGCCACGTGTTCAGCGGCCTCTTCCCAGGCTCCACCTACTCCTTCACAATAAGAGCGTCAACCGTCAAAGGCTTCGGACCGCCCGTCATCACACAGTTCACCACCAAGATCTCAGGTGAGCCCTTCACAATAAAACAGGAAGTTAACGATCAAAGGCTTTGGGAGCGGTTATCATACAAGGGGCCTCAGGTGAGCCCTTCAAAATAAGAGTGCATAGTCAATATTCATTGGGACAAAATTATGTAATGCCCATAAATCGAGCAATAAGTCTTAAAATAATCGAGCTCATGCGCAGATGTTGTACGATAATGATGAGATAATCATAAACTAAGTCTGAAATAATCGAGGTAACGTCCATTGATAAAACAATAAGTCTTACGATAAAGTAATCAGAAATTGACCAGAAGTTGTACGATGTGTAATTAACGTCCACGGTAGAGTTGCCACGTCAATTCTGAAGAACTCTAGCCCAGACCCGTGTGTTTAGCTAGTTCAGAGAGAATCATCAACATTGTACAGAACAAGATAGAACCATAACACCTCTATCAGCTGACGCCAACAGGCAGGAACATAGAACCATAACACCTCTATCAGCTGACGCCAACAGGCAGGAACATAGAACCATAACACCTCTATCAGCTGATCCAACAGGCAGGAACATAGAACCATAACACCTCTATCAGCTGACGCCAGCAGGCAGGGAACATAGAACCATAACACCTCTATCAGCTGATCCAACAGGCAGGAACATAGAACCATAACACCTCTATCAGCTGACGCCAACAGGCAGGAACATAGAACCATAACACCTCTATCAGCTGATCCAACAGGCAGGAACATAGAACCATAACACCTCTATCAGCTGACGCCAGCAGGCAGGAACATAGAACCATAACACCTCTATCAGCTGATCCAACAGGCAGGAACATAGAACCATAACACCTCTATCAGCTGACGCCAACAGGCAGGAACATAGAACCATAACCCCTCTATCAGCTGACGCCAACAGGCAGGAACATAGAACCATAACACCTCTATCAGCTGACGCCAGCAGGCAGGAACATAGAACCATAACACCTCTATCAGCTGACGCCAACAGGCAGGAACATAGAACCATAACACCTCTATCAGCTGACGCCAACAGGCAGGAACATAGAACCATAACACCTCTATCAGCTGACGCCAACAGGCAGGAACATAGAACCATAACACCTCTATCAGCTGACGCCAACAGGCAGGAACATAGAACCATAACACCTCTATCAGCTGACGCCAACAGGCAGGAACATAGAACCATAACACCTCTATCAGCTGACGCCAACAGGCAGGAACATAGAACCATAACACCTCTATCAGCTGACGCCAACAGGCAGGAACATAGAACCATAACACCTCTATCAGCTGACGCCAACAGGCAGGAACATAGAACCATAACACCTCTATCAGCTGACGCCAACAGGCAGGAACATAGAACCATAACACCTCTATCAGCTGACGGCAACAGGCAGGAACATAGAACCATAACACCTCTATCAGCTGACGCCAACAGGCAGGAACATAGAACCATAACACCTCTATCAGCTGACGCCAACAGGCAGGAACATAGAACCATAACACCTCTATCAGCTGACGCCAACAGGCAGGAACATAGAACCATAACACCTCTATCAGCTGATCCAACAGGCAGGAACATAGAACCATAACACCTCTATCAGCTGACGCCAACAGGCAGGAACATAGAACCATAACACCTCTATCAGCTGACGCCAACAGGCAGGAACATAGAACCATAACACCTCTATCAGCTGATCCAACAGGCAGGAACATAGAACCATAACACCTCTATCAGCTGATCCAGCAGACAGGAACATAGAACCATAACACCTCTATCAGCTGACGCCAACAGGCAGGAACATAGAACCATAACACCTCTACCAGCTGATCCAACAGGCAGGAACATAGAACCATAACACCTCTATCAGCTGATCCAACAGGCAGGAACATAGAACCATAACACCTCTATCAGCTGACGCCAACAGGCAGGAACATAGAACCATAACACCTCTATCAGCTGATCCAGCAGACAGGAACATAGAACCATAACACCTCTATCAGCTGACGCCAACAGGCAGGAACATAGAACCATAACACCTCTATCAGCTGATCCAGCAGGCAGGAACATAGAACCATAACACCTCTATCAGCTGACGCCAACAGGCAGGAACATAGAACCATAACACCTCTATCAGCTGACGCCAACAGGCAGGAACATAGAACCATAACACCTCTATCAGCTGATCCAACAGGCAGGAACATAGAACCATAACACCTCTATCAGCTGACGCCAGCAGGCAGGAACATAGAACCATAACACCTCTATCAGCTGACGCCAGCAGGCAGGAACATAGAACCATAACACCTCTATCAGCTGACGCCAGCAGGCAGGAACATAGAACCATAACACCTCTATCAGCTGACGCCAGCAGGCAGGAACATAGAACCATAACACCTCTATCAGCTGATCCAACAGGCAGGAACATAGAACCATAACACCTCTATCAGCTGACGCCAGCAGGCAGGAACATAGAACCATAACACCTCTATCAGCTGATCCAACAGGCAGGAACATAGAACCATAACACCTCTATCAGCTGACGCCAACAGGCAGGAACATAGAACCATAACACCTCTATCAGCTGACGCCAGCAGGCAGGAACATAGAACCATAACACCTCTATCAGCTGACGCCAACAGGCAGGAACATAGAACCATAACACCACTATCAGCTGACGCCAACAGGCAGGAACATAGAACCATAACACCTCTATCAGCTGACGCCAACAGGCAGGAACATAGAACCATAACACCTCTATCAGCTGACGCCAACAGGCAGGAACATAGAACCATAACACCTCTATCAGCTGACGCCAACAGGCAGGAACATAGAACCATAACACCTCTACCAGCTGACAGGCAGGAACATAGAACCATAACACCTCTATCAGCTGACGCCAACAGGCAGGAACATAGAACCATAACACCTCTATCAGCTGACGCCAACAGGCAGGAACATAGAACCATAACACCTCTATCAGCTGACGCCAACAGGCAGGAACATAGAACCATAACACCTCTATCAGCTGACGCCAACAGGCAGGAGCATAGAACCATAACACCTCTATCAGCTGATGCCAACAGGCAGGAACATAGAACCATAACACCTCTATCAGCTGACGCCAACAGGCAGGAACATAGAACCATAACACCTCTATCAGCTGATCCAACAGGCAGGAACATAGAACCATAACACCTCTATCAGCTGACGCCAACAGGCAGGAACATAGAACCATAACCCCTCTATCAGCTGACGCCAACAGGCAGGAACACAGAACTATAACACCTCTATCAGCTGACGCCAACAGGCAGGAACATAGAACCATAACACCTCTATCAGCTGACGCCAACAGGCAGGAACATAGAACCATAACACCTCTATCAGCTGACGCCAACAGGCAGGAACATAGAACCATAACCCCTCTATCAGCTGACGCCAACAGGCAGGAACATAGAACCATAACACCTCTATCAGCTGATCCAACAGGCAGGAACATAGAACCATAACACCTCTATCAGCTGATCCAACAGGCAGGAACATAGAACCATAACACCTCTATCAGCTGACACCAACAGGCAGGAACATAGAACCATAACACCTCTATCAGCTGACGCCAACAGGCAGGAACATAGAACCATAACCCTTCTATCAGCTGACGCCAACAGGCAGGAACATAGAACCATAACACCTCTATCAGCTGACGCCAGCAGGCAGGAACATAGAACCATAACACCTCTATCAGCTGACGCCAGCAGGCAGGAACATAGAACCATAACCCTTCTATCAGCTGACGCCAACAGGCAGGAACATAGAACCATAACACCTCTATCAGCTGACGCCAACAGGCAGGAACATAGAACCATAACACCTCTATCAGCTGACGCCAACAGGCAGGAACATAGAACCATAACACCTCTATCAGCGGACGCCAACAGGCAGGAACATAGAACCATAACACCTCTATCAGCTGACGCCAACAGGCAGGAACATAGAACCATAACACCTCTACCAGCTGACAGGCAGGAACATAGAACCATAACACCTCTATCAGCTGACGCCAACAGGCAGGAACATAGAACCATAACACCTCTACCAGCTGACGCCAACAGGCAGGAACATAGAACCATAACACCTCTATCAGCTGACGCCAACAGGCAGGAACATAGAACCATAACACCTCTATCAGCTGACGCCAGCAGGCAGGAACATAGAACCATAACACCTCTATCAGCTGACGCCAGCAGGCAGGAACATAGAACCATAACACCTCTACCAGCTGACGCCAACAGGCAGGAACATAGAACCATAACACCTCTATCAGCTGACGCCAACAGGCAGGAACATAGAACCATAACACCTCTATCAGCTGACGCCAACAGGCAGGAACATAGAACCATAACACCTCTATCAGCTGACGCCAACAGGCAGGAACATAGAACCATAACACCTCTATCAGCTGACGCCAGCAGGCAGGAACATAGAACCATAACACCTCTATCAGCTGACGCCAACAGGCAGGAACATAGAACCATAACACCTCTATCAGCTGACGCCAACAGGCAGGAACATAGAACCATAACACCTCTATCAGCTGACGCCAGCAGGCAGGAACATAGAACCATAACACCTCTATCAGCTGACGCCAACAGGCAGGAACATAGAACCATAACACCTCTACCAGCTGACAGGCAGGAACATAGAACCATAACACCTCTATCAGCTGACGCCAACAGGCAGGAACATAGAACCATAACACCTCTATCAGCTGACGCCAACAGGCAGGAACATAGAACCATAACACCTCTATCAGCTGACGCCAACAGGCAGGAACATAGAACCATAACACCTCTACCAGCTGACAGGCAGGAACATAGAACCATAACACCTCTATCAGCTGACGCCAACAGGCAGGAACATAGAACCATAACACCTCTACCAGCTGACGCCAACAGGCAGGAACATAGAACCATAACACCTCTATCAGCTGACGCCAACAGGCAGGAACATAGAACCATAACACCTCTATCAGCTGACGCCAGCAGGCAGGAACATAGAACCATAACACCTCTATCAGCTGACGCCAACAGGCAGGAACATAGAACCATAACACCTCTACCAGCTGACGCCAACAGGCAGGAACATAGAACCATAACACCTCTACCAGCTGACGCCAACAGGCAGGAACATAGAACCATAACACCTCTATCAGCTGACGCCAACAGGCAGGAACATAGAACCATAACACCTCTATCAGCTGACGCCAACAGGCAGGAACATAGAACCATAACACCTCTATCAGCTGACGCCAGCAGGCAGGAACATAGAACCATAACACCTCTATCAGCTGACGCCAGCAGGCAGGAACATAGAACCATAACACCTCTATCAGCTGACGCCAGCAGGCAGGAACATAGAACCATAACACCTCTACCAGCTGACGCCAACAGGCAGGAACATAGAACCATAACACCTCTATCAGCTGACGCCAACAGGCAGGAACATAGAACCATAACACCTCTATCAGCTGATCCAACAGGCAGGAACATAGAACCATAACACCTCTATCAGCTGATCCAACAGGCAGGAACATAGAACCATAACACCTCTACCAGCTGACGCCAACAGGCAGGAACATAGAACCATAACACCTCTATCAGCTGACGCCAACAGGCAGGAACATAGAACCATAACACCTCTATCAGCTGATCCAACAGGCAGGAACATAGAACCATAACACCTCTATCAGCTGACGCCAACAGGCAGGAACAGGGAGACAGAGCACTGAGAGCGCAGCAGCCCAGGTCACAGGTGCGTGCGCTCAGTCAGGACATGAACTGATAAACTGGGTCACAGTTATGGGCCTTGGAAAATATTTCCCCAACAATTAGGATAAATCATACGTTAAAACAATCCAGGTCATGTCCATATAACGTACGACAAGTCTTGAATTGATCGGGATAATGTCCCTAAATTGTGCGATAAGTTAATAACCTAGGTTATGTAAATATATATTACAATAAACCTTATGTTAAAACACTTGAGGTAATGTCCATATATCGTCCCATAAGTCTTACGTTTAAAAAAACGAAATTCATGTTCATATATATCGTACTCTAAGGGTGATTTTAGTCAAGGTCACGTCGAGAGATTGTACGATATGTCTTACGTTAAAATAACCACAGTCTTGTCCATATATATCGTATCAGAATGTCTTAATCAATCAAAGTCATGTTCATATATTGTACGATAAGTCTCATTTTAATCGAGGTCATGTCGAGAGGTTGTACGATATTTCTTACGTTAAAACACTCGAGGTAATTACGTTAAAATACTTGAGGTAATGTCCACATCTATCGTACAATAAGTCTCGTTTTAATCGAGGTCATGTCGAGAGGTTGTACGATATTTTCTTACTTTAAAATAATCCCGATGTTCCCGCAGCTCCTCTGATGCCGGCGTACGATCAGGAGTCTCCTCTGAACCAGACGGACTCTACTGTCACCGTGCTGCTGAAACCAGCTCAGAGCAGAGGAGCACCTGTCAGGTAACACACACACACACACACACACACACACACACACACACACACACCACACACACACACACACACACACACACACACACACCACACACACACACACGCACACACACACACACACACACACACACACACACACACACACACACACACACACACACACACACACACACACTGAAATATTGAGCAGCATCAATCTTCCGCTTCATAAAGATTTCATGACGGACGTTAAACATTAAACTCGACATGAAGAAGAACTGAAGCTGAAATCATTTTTTATTTCCCTTCAAATTAAAACTGTGATCTGTAAAATGTTGCAGATTTTAACAAACAGACTGTAGTTATGTTCAAGAGAGGACTCTTTAAAGTAGAGACACTACATACTGATATACACCTGAACATCAGCAGGAGAGCACTCTTTAAAGTAGAGACACTACATACTGATATACACCTGAACATCAGCAGGAGAGGACTCTTTAAAGTAGAGACACTACATACTGATATACACCTGAACATCAGCAGGAGAGGACTCTTTAAAGTAGAGACACTACATCCTGATATACACCTGAACATCAGCAGGAGAGGACTCTTTAAAGTAGAGACACTACATACTGATATACACCTGAACATCAGCAGGAGAGGACTCTTTAAAGTAGAGACACTACATCCTGATATACACCTGAACATCAGCAGGAGAGGACTCTTTAAAGTAGAGACACTACATACTGATATACACCTGAACATCAGCAGGAGAGGACTCTTTAAAGTAGAGACACTACATACTGATATGCACCTGAACATCAGCAGGAGAGGACTCTTTAAAGTAGAGACACTACATCCTGATATACACCTGAACATCAGCAGGAGAGGACTCTTTAAAGTAGAGACACTACATACTGATATACACCTGAACATCAGCAGGAGAGGACTCTTTAAAGTAGAGACACTACATACTGATATGCACCTGAACATCAGCAGGAGAGGACTCTTTAAAGTAGAGACACTACATACTGATATACACCTGAACATCAGCAGGAGAGGACTCTTTAAAGTAGAGACACTACATACTGATATACACCTGAACATCAGCAGGAGAGGACTCTTTAAAGTAGAGACACTACATACTGATATACACCTGAACATCAGCAGGAGAGGACTCTTTAAAGTAGAGACACTACATACTGATATACACCTGAACATCAGCAGGAGAGGACTCTTTAAAGCTCAGAGACTGATGTACTAATAAATAAATGTAATAAGCCAACCTTCATTATCCAGAGTATCATAATGACGAGTCGCTGTGATATTGTAAATGCAGACAATAAAACAATAAACAAACTTTTCTCAGTCGTTGCCGGGGGGGGGGGGTCACTGGGAGGCGGTATCCTCGGCAACTGTCGTCATGTCAACAGCTGTCTGATCCCCGTCGTCGGGCGCCTTAACGAGGGAGTCCGTTAATTAACTATCAGCGGGGGCGGGGCTAACGCGGAGAGGATTAACTAGGGATTACTGCTAATGTGTCAATCACACACACACACACACACACACACACACACACACACACACACACACACACACACACACACACACACACACACAGCTGCAGTTATTAATCTCTCACAAGAATAAAACCATGTAAGGCGAGACAGAGAAGCCTCGTATCGCTCCTTAAATCAGGAAATACTGCCAAGTTTGGTAGAGTGAGATATTAACTTTGTCCTACCTTCAATCCATATCTCAGAGATATTAATTTAACGTCAATATGTACATTTAAGATGCTAAAACAAGAGATTTTTTACTTTAAATATATATGTAAAGATGAATAGGCTGTAGAAAAAGTTGCCGTTAAATGCTCTCTGATTCATCATCCCATATCTACATCCTTAGATCTGTATCTTTGGTCCTTTTGAGCCTCTTTCCGGGTTGTTTGTTCCAACAAAAGTGTGTTTAAATGAGTGGGGGAAAGACTGTTACTAACAGATATCACCTTGAAACTTCCCCACTTCATTACTGACATTAACACAATTACTTTTTGTATTACAAGTTTTCAGACATGTTATGTTTAAATATGCAAATGAGGTGTTACGTAATGCAAATTACAGGATAAAAACTCCTGAATTTGGATTTGAAGTTGTCTTTTAGCATGATCTGCCTGCTATCTGCATTATGTCTCTTTAGTGGGTATAAGATGGATGAATAAAGCAAAATAAAAAGAGACACACAGGCAGCTGGTGGGATGTTCAGGGGGCGTGGGAGAAATCGGCGTTCAGATAAAACACATGTCGACTGAAAAGAAGAGAACGGATCATTTCAAGCGAATCGAGATTTATGTATTCCTATTCAAGCTGGGACAAGACGGAGATGTAAAGAGTGTGTGTGTCATAAAGTGTGTGTGTGTGTCATAAAGTGTGTGTGTGTGTCATAAAGTGTGTGTGTGTGTCATAAAGTGTGTGTGTGTGAGACGTGCAGTGTGTTAATTGACATGATAGTTTATATGAAATCCATCAGATTGAACAGATGCTGCGGGAAGATTTCATGTTTGTGTGTGTTTATATTTAACTTAGCTTTTGTCTCTGCTGACACCAAGCCGGCCCTCAGGCACACACACACACACACACACACACACACACACACACACACACACACACACACACACTGTATGACACACACTCACGTATAGGAGCCTCGGATCGCAGGACAAAAGGTGTAGCCGCGAGCGACCTGCTGCTGTAATCAGATTACTGTCATACACACACACACACACACACACACACACACACACACACACACACACACACACACACACACACACACACACACACAAGTGCTGCAATGTGAGTGTGAAGAAATGTGATTGGAGAGAAAATGAGGAGGAGGTAGAAGAAAAGATTGAATCTGTGTTTTCTGTGGGGAATTAAACAATACAGATACTGCAGTGTGTGTGTGTGTGTGTGTGTGTGTGTGTGTGTGTGTGTGTGTGTGTGTGTGTGTGTGTGTGTGTGTGTGTGTGTGTGTGTGTGTGTGTGTGTGTGTGTGTGTGTGTGTGTGTGTGTGTGTGTGTGTGTGTGTGTGTGTGTGTGTGTGTCTTCCTGTCCTCCTCTAGTTTCCTGTCCGGCAGGAAATGTGACAGCACTGCAGTCCACACCCTCTTTGTTTGTGTCTTTGTGTGTATATATATGTGTGTGTTTATATATGTGTGTGTGTGTGTGTGTGTGTGTGTGTGTGTGTGTGTGTGTGTGTGTGTGTGTGTGTGTGTGTGTGCGTGTGTGTGATATATGACTGCTGTCCTGACTCTGGCTCTTGTAAAAAAAAAACACAACTATTGTTTCCCACGTTTCCCTGAGGACACAATCGCTAATGAAAACTCACCGTGCTGCGTTCAGGTGCAGCTCAGTGTGTTTGTAAACCCACACACAGTCCGTGGGAACTCTGACAACTGCTGGGGGACGACAAGAAAGTGTAGACCCCCAAAAAAGAGTCCAAGGAGTTTATAAGGAGTGTTCAAATATTGTGATAGTGGAGTTTCTGCAGAGTTTGTTTAGAGCTCAAACATCTTTAGTAGTTTCTGTATAGTTTCCAAATCTGATGAGTTTTTGTGGAGATTTTATTAGTATTATCTCTTAGAGTTGGTGTAGTATTGGTAGTTATGTCTGTATAGAGTTGGTAGAGATGTCACAGTGCAAACAGAGTTTATGTGGAGCCTTAAAGGTGATTGGAAATCTGCAGAGTTTTCGTACAGTCGGCACAAAACGCTCGTTATCTTCAGTCTGTTTCTGCTCTTCTTGCTCCACGATGCACGGAGCTCCTGGAAGCTTTAAATCCCTGCAGTAACCAGTTGTTGTGTATGGAGGAACCCCCCCCCCCCCCCCCGTCAAACAGACAGATAGCTGGCATTTATTCGTCCTTTAGAGCTCTAATTCTTCTCCTCGCTGCTGAATTTATTTTCAATTACATTCAGCTGACAACAGACAAACCGGTCCCATTAGTTTCCTGTCTTCATGTCCTTTCCCCACATATAGGATTTAATACCTGCACAGACAGGATGCATGAATTATCAGTTTAATGTCAGCCTGGTATAAAGTTACAGCTCCACACAGAGAGAGTTAATAAAGAGTGAGAGAGTGATGGAGGAGAGCAGGATGACCTTTCTCTGCAGCTGAATAATGAACCAACAGATGGGGAGGAGAAGAGGACGAGAGCGGCTTCCTGTGAGCAGCGATACACTCAATAATCCCAACAACGCTTCAGAAATGAGAGCCTGATTCCATATACATCTTCCTATACAAGTGTCTCAGTGGATACTACAACTCCCATGATGCAGCTGGGTTTCATTAGGGAGCCCTGCCTAGACATTTGTAGTCATGACACAAACATCCCTCAATACTCACCTTCTCACTCTTGCCTTCAACTCCTCACCCACTAACTCCTCACCCCCTAACCCCTCACCCACTAACTCCTCACCCACTAACTCCTCACCCCCTAACCCCTAACCCCTAACTCCTCACCCACTAACTCCTCACCCCCTAACCCCTCACCCCCTAACCCCTCACCCCCTAACCCCTAACTCCTCACCCACTAACTCCTCACCCACTAACTCCTCACCCCCTAACTCCTCACCCCCTAACCCCTCACGCCCTAACCCCTCACCCACTAACTCCTCACCCACTAACTCCTCACCCCCTAACCCCTAACCCCTAACTCCTCACCCACTAACTCCTCACCCCCTAACCCCTCACCCCCTAACCCCTCACGCCACTAGACTCTCACCCACTACCTCTCAGCCCCTAACCCCTAACCCTACTCCTTCACCCACTAACTCCTCAACACCTAAAAACTCCGCCGACCCACAGAATCCTCACACACTAACTCCTCACCCCCGAACCCCCCTAACTCCTACACCCACTAACATAACCCTAAACTCCTCACCCACTAAACTACCTCACCCCCTAACCCCTAACCCCTAACTCCTCACCCACTAACTCCTCAACCCCTAACTCCTCACCCACTAACTCCTCACCCACTAACTCCTCACCCCCTAACCCCTAACTCCTCACCCACTAACCCCTCGCCCTTATTCCACCTAGCTTAGCACTTTTTACTTTTTTCTTCTTTACTTGATTGTAAAGTGCTTTGAGCATTATTATTATTATTATTATTATTATTATTATTATTAGGGTCTGAGACCATAGGTCGGCGAAGACCCTATTGAAATCGGTCGCGCAGCGACCGATAAACCTGCTAAAAACACCCAAAAACAGGGAAAACGACCAACAAAAGCACAGAAAAGGTTCGGAAATAGTGACGGCAGATAGTCCGCGCGAGCCCAGTCACGTGGGCGAAGCCCACGTGATTGCAACTCGCATAATTAATATCGTTACGATCAATTTAGTCGCTCGCGAAGCGAGCGATAACCATGCAAAACCCACTAAAAACAGGGAAAAAGACGGGTAAAAGCCCATTAAAAGTGGCCTAAATCATGACAGTAGGTAGCCCAACGGCCTACAGTGACGTGGGCGTAGCCCACGTCACTGTAAACGAGCACATTATTGATATTGGTCCGATTATTTATTATTATTATTCTGATTATTATTTGAATACATTGAGCGCACTTTTGAGCCCCGCCACATATGTGAAAACTCAACAAATTTTGCACACGCGTCAGAAGTGCGCAAAATTGCGATGTGTAATTGGTCCCGGAACTTTACGTCAAAAATTGCGTAGGCCACGCCCACTTCCGTTTTTAACGTTAACTCCCCCTACTTTAACTTTCACGTAACCGAACGAAACTCGCTAAGCCTATCTAAGGTGCGGAGACAAACAAAAAAGCCTCTTAGAGGGGTATAAAATAACGTACAGGAAGTCGGCCATTTTGAATTTGGCGTCGGAAAAACGCGATTTCTCGCGTTTTTCGTCCTCCGCGCAAAATCTATCTTCTCCCAGGGACTTTATCCGTACGACTCGAAATTCGTCGGGTAGCATCTCGAGACATGGGCAATTAAAAGTTATCACGGAAGTTTTTTTCTTTCGCACGGCGCAGCCGTTATTTGGCGCCAAAGTTCGCGTTCGCTCGATGCTAGGCCCATCAAACGAATACGATGATGTCATAACTCAAACTGACATGCTCACAACGCCACCAAACTTCACAATGTTGTCTTAAGTCAATGGAAAATGCTCCAAACTGCACCAGACTTCAGATGACAGTTAATGGTCCGGCCCTCAACACATTCATATGACAAAAGTCAGTTTTCCTCAAAAGCTGTTGCCATGGCAACGAATCCCTCGCCATAAAACACGGTGTCGCTGTAAATCCAATGGACACGGTCCCATCGTCCCCCAATCTTCACTTTTATATTACTGGTCCATGACTCAACAGCTCTACGCGAAATTTGAGATCTCACCGTATGCCGTTTCCATGGCAACGCATTCCTCGCCATAAAACACGGTGTCGCTGTAAATCCAATCGACACGGTCCCATCGTCCCACAATCTTCACTTTTATATCACTGGTCCATGACTCAACAGCTCTACGTGAAATCTGAGATCTCATCGTATGCCGTTTCCATGGCAACGCATCCCACGCCGTAAAACACGATGTTGTCTTAATTCAATGGAAAATGATCCAAACTGCACCAGACTTCAGATGACAGTTAATGGTCCGGCCCTCAACAGCTCTACGTGAAATCTGAGATCTCACCGTATGCCGTTTCCATGGCAACACATCCCACGCCGTAAAACACGATGTTGTCTTAAGTCATTGGAAAACGTTCCAAACGGCACCAGACTTCAGATGACAGTTAATGGTCCGGCCCTCAACAGCTCTACGTGAAATCTGAGATCTCACCGTATGCCGTTTCCATGGCAACGCATTCCTCGCCATAAAACACGGTGTCGCTGTAAATCCAATCGACACGGTCCCATCGTCCCACAATCTTCACTTTTATATCACTGGTCCATGACTCAACAGCTCTACGTGAAATATGAGATCTCACCGTATGCCGTTTCCATGGCAACGCATCACTCGCCGTAAAACACGATGTTGTCTTAATTCAATGGAAAAGCTTCCAAACGGCACCAGACTTCAGATGACAGTTAATGGTCCGGCCCTCAACAGCTCTACGTGAAATCTGAGATCTCACCGTATGCCGTTTCCATGGCAACGCATCCCACGCCGTAAAACACGATGTTGTCTTAATTCAATGGAAAACGTTCCAAACTGCACCAGACTTCAGATGACAGTTAATGGTCCGGCCCTCAACAGCTCTACGTGAAATCTGAGATCTCACCGTATGCCGTTTCCATGGCAACGCATCCCACGCCGTAAAACACGATGTTGTCTTAATTCAATGGAAAAGCTTCCAAACGGCACCAGACTTCAGATGACGACTACTAGTCCGCCCCTCAACAGCTCTACGCCAATTCTGGGATGTCATCATATGCCGTTGCCATGGCAGTAGATCACTCGCCATCAAACACAATGTTTACTGTATAATACTGCTGTAACTCCCATTTACGTTGTCCCATCGGCCTGAAACTTCCCACGTTTGCCAACGGCCGAGTCCGGAAAACTCCTGCATGATACCTCGACGTGCGGACAACAGCCTGCGGAGCGTCGAAGACCCGCTCAACGCTGCTTGCAGCTTTAATTATTATTATTATTATTATTATTATTATTCTCTGGTTAGTTAGCAACGTAGCTAGTCAAAGACTCCTAACCCTACAGTAAATAGACAACTGTAGGTAAGGAAAATATAACTAACTGATGCTTACTGTATCAGCACATTCCCAAAGACATTGAAGTGACTGTTATTTTGTATTTATTGATTGTTGTGCTTTTATTTATGTCTTAATGTGAGCACATGTATAATTGTGTCTGTTGATTGTGTATATATAGGTCTATATATATTGTATATATATTTGTATTTTTGTATTCGAAATTGTGGGAAACGGTATTTCGATCTCTCTGTCTGTACACACCAACTGATGCTAACGGATGCTAACGGATGTCCCTGTGTGTGCAGTAAGTACCAGGTGGTGGTGGAGGAGGAGCGCCCCCGCAGGCAGAGGAGAGGAACTGCAGAGATCCTGCGCTGCTACCCGGTTCCGATCCACTTCCAGAACGCCTCGCTGCTCAACTCTCAGTACTACTTCAGCGCTGAGCTGCCGGTCAGCGAGCTGCGGGGGGCACGCTCCTTCTGCATCGGTGAGTTAGTTTAACTAGTAGTTAGATAGTTAGTTAGTTAGTTAGCTGTTAGTTAGTGAGCGAGCTGAGGGCGGCACGCTCCTTCTGCATCGGTGAGTGGCTTAGACTAGTAGTTAATTAGCTAATTAGTTAGTTAATTAGCTAATTAGTTAGTTAGCTAGTTAGTTAGCGAGCTGGAGCCCACTCCTTCTGCATCGGTAAGTTAGTTAAACTAATAGTTAGTTAGTTAGCTAGTTAGTTAGTTAGTTAGTTAGTTAGCTAGTTAGTTAGTTAGTTAGTTAGTTAGCTAGTTAGTTAGTTAGTTAGTTAGTTAGCTAGCTAGTTAGTTAGTTAGTTAATGAGCGAGCAGAGGGCGGTCCGTTCCTTCTGCATCGGTGAGTGACTTAAACTAGTAGTTAATTAGCTAATTAGTTAGTTAGTTAGTTAGTTAGTTAGTTAGTTAGTTAGCGAGCTGGAGCCCACTCCTTCTGCACCGGTAAGTTAGTTAAACTAATAGTTAGTTAGTTAGTTAGTTAGTTAGTTAGTTAGTTAGTTAGTTAGTTAGTTAGTTAGTTAATGAGCGAGCTGAGGGTGGCCCACTCCTTTTGCATAGGTTAATACATCAAAAATATGTTTACCGTTTTACCTGTGTACTTGTTTACCTGTTTACCTGTGTACTTGTTTACCTGTTTACCTTTGTCTGTGTGTGTGTGTGTGTATGTGTGCAGGTGATAACAGGACGTACAGCGGCTACTGGAACGCTCCTCTGCTGCCTCACAAGAGTTATGGGATCTACTACCAGGCTGTGAGCACTGCTAACGGGGTGAGTCTACCTCTACGCACACACACCTGTACCCACACACACACCTGTACACACACACACACACACACACACCTGTACACTCACATGTACACTGATACACCCGCCTTATCATCTATCAGAGGCATACAGTTCAAACATGAAGTTTCTCAGGTTCTGCAGCTTTAAGAGTCTTTGTTCCAAAACTGTTGGAAACACAGACTGAGTTTTATTTAAAGGAGTGGCGTGTGTCACGATATCCAATCACAGAGTGCAGCAGACCCCGATGTGTGACAGTGTGTGTGTGAGGGTGTGTGTGTGTGTGTGTTCTAACAAAGCCTCGCCATTATCCTCCTGTGTTATACTCTACACGTCCCTTCAGTTTCCTTCACTTTCTGTTCTTTCTGTCAGAAAAACCAGAGGAGTGAAACAGAGACAGAGGTCACACACTGTGACACACACACACACACACGCACGCACGTGCACACACACATACACACACACACACACACACACACACACACACACACACACACACACACACACACACACACACACACACACACACACAGTTTAATGGATGTGGAAATAGTTCCAGCAGCCTGACCAGTGACACTAATAGGCTGCAGTGGGAGATGTGTGTGTGTGTGTTTTTGGTCACGTGTGTGTGTAAAAAAAGATAATTGTTGACTGTGCACACACACACAGACACACTTACACACACACACTGATTGTATTGTGTTGTGTGTTAATTATTGACGCCGGGAGGTTTAATTGGTGTGTGTGTGTGTTGAATAATGCAGCAACCGTAGTGCTTTTTACTGTCGCTGCACCACAAAGTGTGTGTGTGTTTAGATGTGTGTGTGTGTGTGTGTGTGCGCATGAATATTCATGAGCTCTTGTGGTTAATTTGTCGTCTGTTTGTTAAAACCAGGAAGACACAAGATGTTCAAAACCTGTCTCAATGTGTGTGTGTTTCCCCAAGTGTGTGTGTCCCAAGTGTGTTAAGTGTGTGTGAGTCTGAAGTGTGTGTGTGTGTGTGTTTGTTGGTTGTTAAATGCCAGCACAGGCACTGATCCACAGCCATTTGCCGTCTGTCCGCTCTGTTTACGATGTGTGTGTGTGTGTGTGTGTGTGTGTGTGTGTGTGTGTGTGTGTGTGTGTGTGTGTGTGTGTGTGTGTGTGTGTGTGTGTGTGTGTGTGTGTGTGTGTGTGTGTGTATGTGTGTGTGAGGGTGTGTGTGAGGGTGTGTGAGAGAAAGTTGCCAGACGTGACAGCTAATATGTCGGCATTTCGTGTTGACAGGAAACTAATTTGCTTTTCTCTCCAAACAGGAAACAAAGATCGACTGTGTGCGGGTGGCCACTAAAGGTGAGGCAGAAAAGTGCATTTTATTTTGAAAGGTCTTTGTTTTTATTTTGAAAAGTGCTATGTTAAAAGTACATTTTATTCTGAAAGGTCTTCGGTTTTATTTTGAAAAAGTTATATTTAATTTTGGAAGGCGTTGTTGAGTGCTGTTTTATTTTGAAAGGTTTTGATTGTCAAAAAAAGGTTTTATGGGTAATTTACCTGGACAGGTGTAGAGGTGTTTTATTTTGAAAGACATCGACTACATTTATTTTACTTCAAAAATGTGTTATCATGTATAATGTTGCACAGAGTATGTTTTATTTTGAAATATATTATCCCTTTTTGGATGTACTCAACTGTATTTTATTTTGAAAATCATTCTGCACTGTTAGCGGTTAGCGTTACTAGCTTTGATACCTTCTGGACTGGGTTTGAATGCTACATTAGCCGCTAGCTAGCCAGCCCATTCTGTGTAATGAAACACAGATG